TAAAAGTATTAAAAAAAATCCGTGTTTTCACTTTTTTGCACATTTTGCTACCCATCGAAACGACAACGATTGTCATGTATCGCGAGGTTGATGAATTTTGTAACGATCAGTATGATGTTCGAATCGTGTGAGGACGTTTGTATGTGAGGAGATCGATAATAAAGAAATTTCTATGATCCATGATCACCAGCGTGTCCTCTTTCTTGCACTTCATTCAGGCCCAATCCACAATCGCATATATTAAATTAAATATTTACTTCTTAATATTTAATATTTAAACTTCATGTTGTTAAATTTGTGCTTTATGTCTAACATTTAATATTTCACGCTGTTTCAGATGTTCAGATTTTTCAAATTTCATATTTAATTTAATATTTACGGAGTCCTGATCTCGCTATCTTTTTATTCCGATGTTATAATCTGGCTCGAAACTGCCATAAAGTACAGAACATTGCAAAATATACAACAATACTTTCAACGATACCTCTAACGAGGAAACAGGAAGTATAAGGTACTCGAGATGGTAAAAAAAAATTAACCTTCATTTATTAGCTTACAGACTGAAAATGAAAACTTGAACGACGAACAACAGCGTCTTTCGGGCCACGCGTCCCTCACGGCAGTACACGGATTCTTTCAAGGCGTCTTCCTCGATTGTGCACGAAGAACGATTTATCGAAGTACAGAGAAGTAACGAGCAGAGAGAAACTCCCGGCGGGAGAAAGAAAGGAAAAGAACGAAACCAGTTAATTAGAATTAATTAAGCTCGGCTCTGTTGTTTCGTCGTTGTTAGATCACAAACTGTCGGCCCAATTAGGTACCTGTAACTATGGAAAAATATAATAGTCTTCGATTTAACGAAATAAATACGCCTCCGCGTATACGTAACAGCGTAAAGCGTAATTCGTTTCATTTATAAAAAAAAAAAAAAGACGATGTCTCAGCTGATCCAGAGAGAGAGAGAGAGAGAGAGAGATAGTATGGCCCGATGCAAGTTCAAGAGACTCGAGACTAGTCTTGCTTTAACTTTGGTTCGTCGAGGATTTATAAGATGAGACATCGCAGTTCTCGCGTATTATCGACGAGAACTCGGACGAATCCTTCGAGTCTAGGGTAATAAAAATAATTTACAAATCGCTGCTAATGTGTCGCTACTACATTAGAATGTAGATACAAGATCAATGTTGTGATCATTTTGTTGTTGGTTTTTTTTTTCTTCTTCTTCCGTATAAATTAATCGCAAGGTAGAAAGATCCTCTCGTTCGATTCATTTGTGTGTGTTACAGCACGAGGTTAATCTCGTTGAGAGGACAGGATAGAACGAGACAGAATGAGATAAGGGAAATATTAACAAAGAGAAAGAGAAAGAGAGTGTGTAGAGTCGTGCGTTTCGTCACGGAGATCTTTGCGAGCGCGAGGACGGTAGTCTAGGAACCAATAGACACCCCACGATACGTCGAACACACGATTTCTCGCTTTCGAAGCGAGAAACGTGTCGAGGAACACTTTTCCAGGCCACGCCTGATCGGCAGTGACTATATTGTTTTTTTTTTTATTCTCACAGACACTTTCGACGATCGAATCATACGCTCAGTTCGGACCTCTTTGAACTTTCTTTCGAAGTTATTCCAGCGCACAGTTCAAATTTCCTCGCGTAGAAATTTAACCATTAATCTATTAAAGTTATATAATTTATGATCATTAAATACGTTAAGTACCTCGTCAGTTTAGGGGAGCATTTAATACTTTAGAATTTGAATACGCCAAGGCACAAGGTTTGTCGTCAGACTTTCCCCGAAGGATCATTTCAAAATACTAACTTAAGTAAACCTACAAGAACATCTAACCTTTCGTTATTTAAGTTCACGTTCTTCGTCGTAGAAAAATTTGCACAGACGTACAACTTTCTCGTCTTTCACGTTCCATCCGAGTGCCGCAAACTACAATTGAACTTCTCGATTCAATCATTCCCTAAGCAGTACCCAAGTGCAAGATCAGGCACGATCTATCAATCAATTCGTACATACTTCCTCGACATAATTTTCTTCAGTCCATCCCTATCTACTTAAGATCAATAACGAAACTTTGATCGAGCGTTTAACGAAACTCCCAATCTCGGAACTTGAGACGAGTTTTCCAAGAGAAAATTGTTCATCGAGATCCATCGACATTCGACTCGATCGCCCACCAGGGACGTTCAGAAGTATCCCTCCCTGTCCTTGGGCGCGCTGGAGATGAGTTCACGTCGCTTCCAGACCGGCTGTGCTCTGGTTCTTTGGTTCTGCGCGGCAGCCACCGACGACGAGGAGGACATAGTCACGGAGGACGAGGACGAAACCGTGGCCGTGTTCTTCCCCGCCAACGTATCCGAGTCGGGGATGTGACGAGTCTGATGCCTTGAGTCTGTGTAACGTCTCTTCGTGTACTTTTTGCTCTCCGAGGACGTTGTGGAGCTTGTTTTGCTCTGCTGCGACGTCGAGATGCCTGTGTCTGGTCTGGAGATGTGTAACATCCTCTCGATGTCGGCGGTCTTCGATCTGCGAAATTGGAGAAACAATTGAATTAGTTTTTGGCGGGGAAACTAGCATTTCAACGTAGACTTAAGTAGACTTAAGTTGGTAATATTTATGCGTATTTATTAACTAATTATATTAAATATTAACATGTGTAAACGAATTATCATTATCATTACTCGAATACAAATACTTGAGTAATAACAATAATATCTAGAAAAAAATTAAATAGAGAATTCGTTTACCAATATTTTTTTATACTTTTTATACTTTTCATATTACGTGTGCCATGTATTTCTGCATCTTCTCACAGTTCAGTTGCAACTATTTCATAATTTAAAATCCGAAATTGCGAAATTTCGGCAAACAAAAATTCCAATAATCCTACATATGACAATTATTCAATAACAATCTCTACACGAAGAAACAACCTAGGCTAAGGGGCAACGTAATCAATTCCCATTGCAAGAACAGTCGGACTCGAGTCCTAGAAACTTAGAAACAAAACAAATCACTGAACTGAACAACAGAGTGAAATAATAATAAAAAAAAGAAAAGAAAATAAATCGACAAACAATGACCAGAAGAAAGGAACAACAAAATACGACGACCTAATACCACGATAGCAAGGTGAATGCACCGCGACGGTGCATTGCACTAGATTCGAAGGGGGTGAACGAACTGTCCCAGATGTTCCGCGCGAATACCAGAACAGTAGCACGAATCAAGATCATCCGGCCAATTCCTGTCAGCTGCACACGGAAACCAGCATAGTTCAGAGGAGCAGGATTCTCACCTCAAAACCGCACCACCGATGCTGGTGATGCTCGGCGTGTACGGGGCCGCGGTGCTCCTCGACGTCTCTTGGCCGCTGGTCGACCTGGTCACTTGCCGTAGCTCGCTCGACGTGGTGAACGACACCCTTTGAAGGACGGCCTGTTGGTCGGGGATGTAAGAGACAGCGGTTACCGCGCTGTCGGGGCTGGCTGGTGGCGATGACGCCCATGACGGTGGAGAGCTTGGAACTTGGTCGCCCGACAAAGTGGCGGAGGAACCCACCGCGCTGTCGCTTCCGTGTCTTCCACCTGGATATGTAAATGATGAACAATTTTACCAGAGTTTTTCAAATATAGTACGAGTGGCAAGTCTATCATCTTTTTTACATTTACGTAAATTTTAAAAAATTTCTTAATTACGAAAAAGGTCCAAAAAAAAAAATCCTTGTTTCTCTGAAAAGTTTGCGAAATTTTTCTTGAAATATTAAGAAAAACGCCAGAGCAAAATTAACTTTCTACTACGACGCTTAATGAAACTCGACGAATAAAAGGTAGAATATTTTATAGAACAAAGCTAATCCTGACTGGTTGCCACTAAACTTGAAATATTCCGGATACTGTATCAGAAAGGGCATACCTTCGCTGCAGCCGGAGATCGATCGCTGCCTCTGCCTTCTCGGCGGTGCACTAGGTTGCTTAGGAGTTTCCTCGATGTAAGGAATGTCTGGATCGTCGAGGTTCAATGTGAACGCTCCAGACATCGGTATGGTAAGACTGGCGGTGATTACCATCGGCGAGGATCTCCTTCGTGGATCGGCTGGATCCTCGCTGGATCCACTGTCCACGCTGTTACTCCTGCCTTCCTCTTTTCGTCGACTACCAGGCCTTTTTGGCCGCCTGGGCCTTGGACCTATATCACCGCCCACGCCGGCTGTTTGGTGAAGACACTGTTCCCTCGTCCACACCTTTAACAACCAAAATTGATCCAATCTTAATGATTGTCTCTTTTCAATGAGCATTTAAAAAATACTAAATATATTTCAAGATTGGATGGTAGAGTGGTTCAATAACTTTTTATACACTATAAAATGAATAAAAACTAAATATATGTGTTTGTGTGAAATCGAGTAAAATGTTAAATATTGTATATATGTTAAAATAAAAGTGTATATTAATATAAAGTAAAATTATTAAAGCGCTTTACGTTTGGTACCTCAAATTATGCAAAGACATTAAAAATTTACAACGATAATGACTTCCATACGAACATGATATTAAACATATCAATAAAAAAGAAAAAACGTCAGTCAAATCGGAACATTTGAAACGAAGCTACTTTCATAGATCGAGGGGGCGAAAATGACGAGGGTAAGAGAGAGAGAGAGAGAGAAAGAGGGAATAAAAACGTTCAAGGTGTGCAAGAAGTTTAGCCCCTTTGAAGTCGTGCCATATCTTTCCTCGATCTCGAGAACGTTCCAGCCGAAGACGTCAGAGTAATACCGCGAAACGTTGCGGGGGATATCTCAGTTCGATCTGGGATTGGTGGTTACCTTTCTGGTGGACGTGGTCGTCCCGGCCGTGGACGCTGTCGACGTCGTCAGCGTCTCCTCGACCGAGAAGGTTTCGGCTTCGCTGCACGGATCCGCCTCGTCTCCGCATTGCCTGCGAAAAACCGTACGAAACACACGCTGTCAGGTTTTTCCAACTCGCGACTCGCCGACTGACATACGCGAGCGAACCTCCCCTGGCTGTTTGCCACGAGTGCCAGACGGTCGAATTAAAAATCTCTGCGAAAAGACGGAGCGGGCCGAGTGTGTGTCTTTTGGCAGTGAGATAAATGGCGGATAGAATATTCGACGATTGCCCGTTTAATTGCATAAAGCGATGGAGAGCTGTGCGTTTGTCTCCCAGGCGGATTTAATGGGAATGTAATGGAACAGAGTGGTATGATCGAGTCCTTGGAATTGCAGTGTACATTTGTAATTTAGAATTTCGATAAAATTAGAAACACGTAGTAACGGAGTTTTACAGAATTTCGGGAATTTTAATTAACTTATTTGGTTAATCTTGTTGGAATTGTTGGATTATAAAATAATCAAAATAATCGTAGGATTATAAAATTAGAAACACGTAGTAACGGAGTTTTATAGAATTTCTGGAATTTTAATTAACTTATTTGGTTAATCTTGTTGGAATTGTTGAATTATAAAATAATCAAAATAATTGTAGGATTATAAAATTAGAAACACGTAGTAACGGAGTTCTATAGAATTTCTGGAATTTTAATTAACTTATTTGGTTAATCTTGTTGGAATTGTTGGATTATAAAATAATCAAAATAATTGTAGGATTATAAAATCACAATCGTACGATGAATGAAATTGATGAATCTTCGAGGAAAGAAGATTCTACAAATGTATCAGTAATCCTAAATTCTTGTTCACTTTTGTTGTAGCGAAATCGAATCGTCAGCGTTTCTTTAAAGATCTCCTTCGAAGATTTAAAAAGGAAGCATTCCCATGGATCAGGGACAGAGAACAGAGATCATTCAAAGGTACTCACTCTTCGGCACGTCGAGAGAGCGCAAGATCTAAATCCGCCGGATGGGTGTCCATCATGTGCAAGTATACTTCGTCCAGAAGGGCGGCTGGTACTGTAAATAACGTCGAGGCGTGTTCCAAAAGAGTTCTGACTACGTTTATCACGTCTATCCTTTCTTCCGCCCTTTCCGCAGACACTTCCGACCTTTGTCCAGGTTTCACGCAGTGGAGAATGTTCGGAGCGAATACCTTCACAAAGAAAGTTGAACAAAATTCATGGAAGATTCTGAGGGGGAGAAAAGCAAACAAATAAATATACGCTTTCGATCGAAAGCAAATAACGTATGATTTGATCGACGAATTATTATTACGATTTCCAAACGATCAATCAAAAGCAGAGGAAACTGAAAGAAACCAACGAAAATGAAATAAACAAATGTATACTTTCAATCGAATAAATGTGTGCTTTTAAGAGTGAAAAAACAAACTATACTCTGAAAAAGAGTCGTCATTTGTGATTGATTGAATTTCTTTTGTTTCTTGTAACGACTCGAGACGAATTATTTTTACGATCTCCGAACAATCGGTCGAAAGTTAATTGGAAGATTCGAAAAGAATCTTTCTTGTATCGTCGAGAAATAAACCAGTACCATTTGTACCGAGCTGAAAGAAACCACTTTTATAAAACCTAGAAGAGAATCGTAGGTTGCGTCGACGATATTCGTTAAAGGATTAGAGACCAAGCGTAAAAAGGGATTAAAAGAAGTGCGGCAATAATCCTAAAGTGCAAAGGCAATCTCGATAAAATTCCGGTCGCATACGTCCCTCCGAGTCCTTCGTCTAGCAATACAATTTATCCTGTCATCAATCTACGTTTACGAGTCTTCCCTCTTTTCTTCTTAATTGCAACTCTCACTGAAAAATCCTCTCGATCGATCCATCGAAGACGAACGTCGCGTCAACACGATATTCTTTTGAAATAAACACTTACACCGTTTACAATTTTTTGTAACGCTACAAAACAGTTACAAAACAGAATTCCAAGGATTTAATACGTTTTCGTTTCCCTTATATTTTATTTTGGGCTAATAAGAACGTGAATTGTCGCTCACCGTGGCCAAGTTGATCGTGTCCATCTTGTTGCCCGGTATCCAATCCCCTGTCTCGTTCTTTTGATCTTCACTGTTCGCCGCGACCACGCTGAGAAAGTTCAAAAGTGCCCAGAGAGTTTCACGGTTTGGCGTAGGCAGCAGCTGAACGAGATGCTGAAGTGCCTCTTGCTGAAGTCGCCTGTTCCGGATCTCTGCGAGTAACGAGAATCTCTCTTAACGCGCGTACGCAATCTCGTACGTCAACGTAGTGAGAGGAAAATGTATCGACGAACGAGCAGATACATTTCTACAACGCGGTTCTAACGTTTCTATGATGGATTGGAAATTGTTCAATGTACATAATGAGCGTATAAAAAATTTTGATGGCGCAAAAATGTATAAAATTGTGTTGTTATTCTAAATTGAATTAATCTGACTAGACGAGACGATTCTCTAGTTTTTCCCTTTTTCATTTTATTTTTTTTTTTTTTTTT